TTGACCCCCACTTTATATCCACATTATAATTTATTATTTGATTATCCAATTCTGATTAGGTGTGAATCCAACTCTTCTTCCCACAGCTATGGGTTAATGAGCAAAATTTGTTTATCTAAATCATTATTATCTCAAAAAATATTCTTGCAATCTAAAAATATTTTCTGGCTTTAAATAATCTTCAAAGGGTTGATAAACCGTAAAAAAGGAACCACTCAATCACTGAAGCACATATCTTACCACCCCACCACTTATTGGTTAATACGTAATATTTGTATCACTTAATCATTATTATCTCCAAGAAATATTCTTACAGCTTAAAAATGTTTTCTCGTTTTAAATAACCTGAAAAGGGTTGATATACCGTAAAAAACAGATCAGTCATACAATTGACACGATTGTTTTTAATTCGGGTCCTAGTCATAAATTCATCTTAGAACGCCAGTGACATAATTTTGCCACGGAAGGTTCTCTTGAGGTTGATGGCTGACATTTTATTTAGATCGGGATTTTGAAGGATGTTCTTCATCCTAGACATGACGTTTCTTTCATTTTGGATTTCTAACAGTAAAAAAAATAAACTTAATAATAAATTTCATATTTATTTGCTTGTTAAAATCTTTAAAGAAAAAAATAATTTCATCAAAATTTTCAAAATTTCAAATAAAGTCCAAGAAAACAGTTATATAATCGACACACATGATTGTAGAATCTAATTATATCTGCTTTGTGAAGCAATTGTACAAACAACATTTGACCCAGAATAAGAAAACTAAACTAATAAAACTCCGTTATCTAAAAAATACCATAGCCAGGCGTATTAGAGATTTGTTTGAAGATATTGAGGGCAGTGTAAAAAAAATGTCATTAATGACGCATTGTCCAGTACACAAACTGATGAATCGTGTGATAATAACGGAACAACAAACTTGTTAGCATATTTCTTTAATAATTTTACCTCAAGTAAGGCGATAAAGCCACTAAGACACAAGGAGTTACTGAGCGTAAAAGAATCTAAGAAAATAGAGGCCAATAAAAGAACACGAATTAAGGAAACATGCATTTAGATTTTTGATGATCAAATTTAACTGGAAAGTAAGAAGGTGTAGTAGTTCCTCAACTGCGGGTTACGAAACCGTTAACAGAGAACTACATCTAGCGATTTCAACTGTAAAATGATGAGACCTAACTGCCAATCTAGTACTGAGCTTAAATTCGTAAATTCGAGGTGCCAAAGGGGAATGCTTATTCGAACAATTACTATGAAATATTTGTTTGCTTCATTCATAAAAATTAGGATTAAAGAAAGTATTTCTATAGCAAAGAAAATTCGGGAACTGCTTGTGATGAAGTTTCTTTCTAACGTTCTGACTGAATATATGACATCTGTAAGCTTACAGTGGGAAATTCTGTTGACATTTTTACGGATGGCTGGCCTGGACGCTCGAAGTTAAAACGAGAGGGAACATGGCGAAGAATTGTGGAAAAAGAGTGGTCACTACTGTTGATCCTGTGGTAAGACACGAGTGACAGCTGTGGACAGCGCAGAGTGAAGACGTTCTGTTAGGGTCTTCTATGCCACAAGCCATCAGGTTGATAGGTAGATAAATCTATAGAGATATATCCTTATCACTTAGTTGCAAAATGAACGATTTCCCGACAGCGCTGTAAAGGAGTTGAAAGTGGCAGAAAAGCGTCTTCGCGAAAAAGTGGTGCTGGGCACTGTCGCCACGGATCGGGCAGGGCTGGGTTTCTTTCCTACTGTTAGAATTGACAAAGCCGTAGGTAAGGAAAAGCACCAACTCTTACTGGACGAAATTCGCGCAAGGGACGAGGAAATGAGGGTAGCAAAGATGATTGGGTTTAAACAACAAGGTTCATGGAAAAAATGGAAGACAATGATACCTAGGAAAGTCGGATGGTCAGATCTATGGCATAACGAATTGGGCACGAACTCTTTGATCCGATCTGTTTATGACCTTCTACCAAGCCCCGTTAACCTACAATTATGGACTAAATCAGAATCGCCCTCATGCCCTCTATGCGGTCAAATAGGTTCTTTAAAACACATACTTAGCAAATCAGCTCTAGCAGACGGTAGGTATAGATGGCGCCACGATCAAATACTAAAAGAAATTGTGGAAGTCGTTAGCACAGCCATCCATACAAACAAACCGAATTCAAACATGAATTTTATAAATTTTATTAAAGCTGGCGCGAAACCGAACCCATAGAAAATAACCGCACCCAACTGTTTATCTTGTGCAACAGACTGGGAATTCAGAGTGGACTTAGGTAAAAGGCTAAATTTCCCCGATCACATTTCCAAGACCCGATTGCGTCCAGACCTAGTCCTTTTTTCAAATAAACTAAAGAAAGTCATCATGTGGAAACTAACAGTCTGTTATGAGGATAACGCAGAAGAAGCCAGTGAAAGGAAAAAACTAAAATACGATGAATTATTGGAAAGTTGTAGGAATAATGGATGGAAGGCAAGCTGCAAACCAATCGAAGTAGGCACAAGGGGTTTTGTGGCAAAATCTCTAGTCAGCGCCTTAACAGACATTGGGATAGTGGGAATAAAAAAACGAAAAGCTATCCAAACCATTACCAAGACAGCAGAAAGAACAGCTAAATGGCTATACACGCAAGTGTATGGTCGAGTAAACTGGGGAAAACCTAAATTAATGTAAAAGTGTAATTTTTTTTTTTTCATACATCATTGTATATAAAATGCAAAACAACAAAACAATATCTGTTCATTGTAAAAAAAATATAACCTTGATAATACTAAACCCAAAATACTATCCATCAACGATAGTTTAAAATAATTTCTCTAAACTTGAGACGTTGACTGCCAGAGGCCAGTTATGAAATCGGACTTCAAACGCCATCTTGATAATAACCAACTTTGGCGATAAAAAAAAATTACGGGTTGATTTCTAGCTTCAACAGGAGTCTTAACATTGTTTTCACACTGGCAGTCTCTATGTGAATAAACTCATTGTTGGCGCCAGCGGATAAAAATGTATCAGAAAATACCAAACACGAGATAACTCGTAGTCGACACGAGGTAACTCGTCGTCAGCGTCATCTCGTGGTAACAATATTTATTCCTTTCTTTTTATGTGACATGTCCTTTCAGGACGTAGGCGATCATGGCCCTACAATTCCCCCTATCCCTTGTGACTCTCAACAGGTTTTGTGTTTCTGCCAACTCCCCCAGATCACGCTCCGCCATCCACCTGCCCAAGCCCGCCAGTAATGTCATGTGTTTCTTTTCCCTGTCTCTTGGTCCCTCTATTCGTTCCGTGAGTATCAGATTCTCCAGGCCCTCTTTTCTCATCACGTGTCCCAGAAATTTCATCTGCCTCTTCCTGATGTTAAGCATAAGCTTCCTCCTTGCTTGCATCCTCTCCAAGACCTCATCGTCGCTGACATGATCGGCCTATGATATCCTAATCTATGAAATTTATTACTTCTTCAAAAACAATAAAGTATTTAATCAACACCAAGCAAAATCAGTCAGTTGTGTGCCATGCGTGATACACGCTCAGGTGATCGATACATGACTGACGAATCAGATTTTTTCCCCGCAGTAGATTGCCATTTCTTTCTTCGGTAGATCAGTTGCCATCCAAGACAAAGAACCCGGTCTGCCCTGCTATTTACCCATATCTGGAGGGAGAAGTGGAGGATTCTTACCTTTCTCAAGGGTATTAGCACGTAAGTGAATGTAATGGATTCGACTGGAATTCGAACTCGGCTCTCCGATTCCTCAATCTGAGCCGCTATCCGTTCCTCCTACCACCATTAAAACTGAAGCAGGAATATACAAAATAAATTGTAGACTGTCTTATGAAATACGTTACTGAGACTTCTAGAATTAAAAAAAAAAATTATATGAACATAAAAGGGATCTTTTACAAAACAATATGCTCAATGCATTAGTCTGACCATAATTCTGACTTGATGCAATTTTAATTAAGGCGAAAATGTATTGAACGTGCACTAATTTGTGAATTCAATATACATCCACGATCATGAATTAGGATTCATACAATGTGAGATATCGAAAAACATTAATAGTAAAAATAAAAGTGATGAAAAGCAGAGTGAGATAAACAAAGATTAGATTAGCATTTAGATACAGCGGACGTCAAAATTTAAATTTTGAGCGTCTCTGTATCATTAACTGCAACCCAGGTTTGTTACATGTTTTTCTTTTGCAAATAGGAATGTTCCCATCAATAAAACCGTTACTTGTCTGAAGACGTTTTTGTTTTCAAAAAGAAACGCGTCACGGCACAGTTTTCCGTTTTGTCCTTAGCTTATTCATTGTTTCCCATGAATAACTGAAAACAAAGTTAACCCGGCGAACCATTGCTACTGTGTAGTTAGCGCTGCCTTCATAAGCGCCTCACAACTGTGACCTATGCCAGACTAGGTTTATTAAATAGCGAAAGTACTTTGCGTGATGGTTAACGGGCTAGTTCGATTTTCATGGGCGTCATACACTTATGATCTTAGCTCGAAAAATAACATTCATTTTTTTTTTCGTTCCTTATCGTAAGATTTTGCACCATGAATCTATTTTAATTATCGAAGTGACAGCCGCCATATACAAATTCTCAAAGGGAGGCACGAATTGCCATTTTTTAAGTATTAGATTTAAAAAAAAGAAAAGAAAAAAGAATTTCCTTCACTCCACTTTCCTTCGCTTTCCTTTTTTTTATGTATTTTTGATGTTTCTTTCTCTTTCTGTTCAATTTCGGTTTGCGAATAACCATTTTTATGTCTTTATTCGCAATTAAAGGAACAGATTTCTGACGAAGAAAGTAAAAAATAGTTACATTACAAGAAAGAATATGACATTAACATAATCCGGTCATTAAACATACAATTTTAATTGAATGAAATCCGAGATATCAGTTTATTTTTGCTGTCGGCCTAAAGGAATGACACCTGTTTTCAAAGAAAGGCACGTTATCATTGAATTCATGTTCTCTCGCTGTTTGCTTTTTTTCTTTTTCTTTTTTTTTTTACATACTTGCTTTTTTTCGTTCGCCATTTCTTATTTTCTTTTCTTTCTTTTTTTTTTTTTCAAACTCAGCATTTGGTCTCTTTTGTTTTGTAATTCGTGATGTATCGTTAGCTTTGTTTTGTTTTTATTTAACTTTTCCTTTTGAATTAATTCTGCCTGGAACCTTATTTGTTTTTGTTTTTTTGTTTCTTTCGTTTTTTTTTTTTCTCTTTTGCTGGGATATTTTTCTTTCTGTTTTAGTTTCATTTTTTGGTTTTTCTAGCCATTTATTTCTTTTTTTAAATAGTTTTTTTTTTTCACCTTTTCTGAAATCTTCGAACTGCCTATAAAACTTTCTTTTTTCTTTCTCAATATCTTTCTATTTTACTATTGTTTTCTTCCAAGTATTCACTTTATCATCTTTAGCTTCGTCGATTATTCCTCACTTTTCTTTTATTTCTCTTTTAATTTTCTCCTTTCTGTAGTTGTTATGCGTTATTTTGACTTTCCTTTAATCATTCTCATTATCATACTTTTTCTTTTCTTTATTTTTCTTTTGCAGTAAGGTTCACACTTCACAAGGCCTGGTAGAGGGTTAAAATAAAGGAGAATACATGTGGATAGGAGCGGAAGATAAGGTTAAATATCCTCTAGTGAGTCTGTTTAAGTAGAACTTCTCGCCGAATATGGAGGGAATGAGGGTGGTTTACTAATATGTAAGTGACATGGCGGGTCCTAGGCATAAAGATCTGACCTGGTGGAACCAGGAGATAGAGTTCGAGCACTTTCCATGAGATAGAGCAGTGAGAGAAAGGTTGGAGTTTAGACTATTTACATTATTCGGACTATTCTTTATTACAATGATACAGCCATTGTACGCTCCGGTAGCCATCTTTTGGAATGTCCGGTAGCCATCTTTTTGGAATGTTGAACTGAAGCCTTTATTTCGCTCACTGTTCTAGTTCCACGTGTCATGTTTTAATGGATGTCAGTTATCAGTTATCTCCTGTTAATTCCTCTCTCCAAGTTCTCCACTGCCTTAAGCGGGTATTGAACTCAGACGCTTTTGGGTCTTGTTACTGGATGTAAGCAACGCTTTTATCCACTGTGCCATATGTTCTGTGTATGAATTTATGGGTATTATAAACCTAATGTCTTCAGCAACCATTTTTTCCAGTGCTCATATTACAATTTTTGCTGTTATCATTACATGTTTTTACCAGAGCTCATATTGCAATTTTTGTTGTTGTTATTATCGCTTTTCTCTGGCACTCCTTATAACTGGTTCCCATATCGTATTCATTTCTATGCTTGGACGGCTTAGGAGATTTTTGTGGCCTAGCACATGTGTCGATTCGTTAAGTTTACGAATTTTCCAATGGTGTTCTTTGTCTAAGATCTCAACCTAATCCCACAGAAGGCGGCATTCTCCCTTTTCTCTCCATATATGGTCAGCCACGCCTGATTTTTCCACTTATTGTTCAAGACTCGATAATAAAAAAAACTTCCAATCCCGGAACAAATTTATGGAATGAAGCACTGCTAACCATTAATGATTAACAATGTGTTAGCTAACTGAAACAATATCAGTACAGATTGAGTATCCTTTATCCAAAATTCTCAAATCCGAAAACCTCCAAAATCAATTTCAGATGCTGACATGAAATTTCAGAAGACACTGGAAAGATTCCTGTGATGTTCAGCTGTTCTAAGTAACCGCATCTGCCCTGGATGGGGATTTCCCAGCCCAACTACGCAGCCTACGTTGGTACCAGTTTTTTGTTAGTGATCGTCACAGCCACACCTTCGTTCATGGGTTACTTACCATGTGTTTCGTGCTCAATAAAGATATTATTCAAAATGGCAAAAAAGTGCTACATTGTTGTAAGTAGTGATCATGCTATTTTGTACACGTACAGAAAGTACAAAACATTATTTAACGTGAAATTTTAATTTCACCACTTAAAAATCCGTGTGAGCATTACATGGCTAGCGTCATTAACTGTATCTGAAGGTACACAAAATTTATTAAATTTTATATAAAACTACCTGCAGGGTTATGACATGTAAAGGCATATCGTGTTTATCCTTGGGTTCCATTTCTTCGCTGACCTATTTTATAGATGCTAGATGCAAATTAAACAGCCTGTATTCTAAAATCCGAAAACATCTGAAACCCAAAGCACTTTCCATCGCAAGAATTTTGGAAAAAGGATTCTCAACCTATATTAGAAAGTGTGTCCCAAAAATCCAAAATATTGTGTCAATAAAATAAACTCAAAATAAACTGGAGGAAATCAAATAATTCGTATTATTTTACCGTGTTCCTTCTTCTCCATTTAATCAGATTACGAAAAAAACACTCCTTGGACACTAAATAGGTTACGCTGGGGGAATTTTTGTCCAGCAAACCCGTATATTAATCGTAAAACCTCAATTCGTGTCCTAAAATATTATCATCAGATCAAGACTTTTATCAGGATTTTATTCATGGCGTCCAACTCGTTCTAACTTATCAGCCATCTAAACTCGTTTTCTCAGTTCAGTGATTAAAAATGGCTTCAAGCGAACGAGACTTTTTGGTAATAATGAAGACAATCCTGCACTAGACTCTATAGACTGGCACTGAATAATCAGAAGCAAACAATTTTACCAAATAACAAAAAATCGTTTGAAGACTGCCAACAGCAACAAACAACAAAAATGGATAACACATGTAACCAGAGGAGAAAATAATGATATAATCGGTATATTGACTTTCTACGACCTTATATGAAAGGTTTACAAGGAAACTCCCATCAGTACTACAAAGTGCGATAACAGTTTAATTTCCTGAAAAATTAACCCGCAGTAACCCTCAATGTTTGGTCAATAAATACCGTATGTTTTATGTCTGGGAATCGTTAATTTCACTATTATCATTACTTTTACCATTCCCATCAATTTCGCCATTACCATTACTTTCAACATTAGCTTTAATTTTATCATTATCATTACTTTCACCATTGCCATTAATTTCACCACTACCATTAATTTCGCTATTACCATTACTTTAACCGTTGCCATTACTTTCACCTTTCCCATTAATTTCACAATTACCATTAATTTCAGCATTTTCATTACTTTTATCATTATCATTACTTTTATCATTACAATCATTATTAGTCGTAAAAATCGTCAAAGGTCGTGAATCAATCCATTCAGCAATATCAGAATGCTTTTCGTCCATTATCATATGTATTTATTGAGAAATAATGAATTAGTTTGATAATTGCCTTCTCGCCAAATAAATTTAATGTTTTTAATACATTTTTAATGAGATTTTATTTAGGCTCCAATTTTTATTTCGCTTTATTTTTCTTTTTGTTTTCTTTAATGTTCTTTCTTTCTTTCTTTCTTTCTTTCTTTCTTTCTTTCAGTCGCTTTCTCTGTGTCTCTCTTTTCCTTTGCCTATCATTTTCATTTTTATCTCTCTTTTTGCCTTCCCCGTGATAAGCATCGATATCTAATTTATTTTACTGGACTTATCCAAAAAGAGACTCAGAAAACAAGTGAAACGAAAGCTGCTCATCTTCACTTAAATGCGAAAAGTCTGGCTACAAAGAAAGTGGGGAAATAAATCCATTCACTTTCTATTTCAAATTAAAGAAATAAAATAAACACATGACTCCAATCAGGATTTAACCTTTCGGCTAGGATCGAAAATGATTCTGTACCTGCTTTTTAAATATAAAGAGGACCTTATCCCATTCGTTACCACTTGCAGCTATCACAATCATAATGAAATACTCTCGCTCCGATAGTAGACGTGACAGAGTTGGTCGGTAGTATTATGTATCTGTTTTTCTACTATCCAGAATAACCTATCCCATCTAAATAATCTTGAAATAGTCACAAACACTTCCAAAACCATTATGGATATACTAAGATCTTCAAACATTAATAGCAATAATATTTTTGATGCAGGCATTTATAAAAAAATTGCCAAAACTGTCCCCCCCAATATATTGGAGAAACAAGTAGAAGTTTAAAAAAACGCATTTATGAACACAAAAGAGACCTCACAAAAAACAACTTAGCTAATGCACTAGTCATACATAGAAATAAATTCAACCATAATTTTGATTTTAAAAATGCTACACTGATAAAAAAAGAAAATAACTCACTCAGAAGGAAAATTCTAGAGAGTGCCGCCATAGAATATTACCCAAATATTAATCTACGCCCAGGTTTTTTCCCCATTTCACCTTTCTTAACAAAATTACTGCTCTCCCAAACAAACATACACAACAATATCGTAAAATCAAAAGAAAATGGTTGAAACCGTCAACACAGCTATAATGACAATATTCTCCACACGTGACAAATACTGACGTTATTTTCAGTTAACAATATGAAAATAGCGTTCTCTACATTCTTCGAGTGCCACCATAGAAAATTACCCAAATATTAATCTACGCCCATATTTTTCCCCATTTCACCTTTCTTAACAAAATCACTGCTCTCACAAACAAATGTACACAACAGATTCATAAAATCAAAAGAAAATGGTTGAATATATCAACACAGATATAATGACAATATTCTCCACACGTGACAAATACTGACGTTATTTTCAGTTAACAATATGAAAATAGCGTTTCTCTACATTCCAGTTGCTAGGAACATTCTGTCTTTTTGTTTTTATTAGTTACCTTGTTCAATTAAATTTATTTCGTATTTTGCTTTGATAAAGTCCACATTGGACGAAATGCATCAGCAATTACAAGTTTTCCTTTTGTTATTTTTATTCATAAATATATAAATATGAATATATTTTTCTTTTCCCCTTTGTAGGGATACAGTAATTATTTGCACTTACCATATAAAGTGTCATGTGACATTATTGTACGAGTAGAAAAATAAAACCAGTTACAATCAGTTCCTGGTAGGTAGACAAACTAAGTGTACATTCATTTTCTAATCTTTCACGGCTTGAGAGATACCGGCTCCACATGACATTCCAGTGAAACACACTGTGACATTCAAATAAGAGTTTTTTTTTTCTTTTCTTTGTCAAAATTTCTCCTCCCTTTTTATTCTCAGTATTGTGACAACTTACTCTGCAGTGTAGGCAACTTAACATTTTCTATTAAAACTTTCTCTCATATTTTTTTTATATATATTTTGTACTGCGAACGTAACTTGGCGTCTTCTCGACTCTTTATACCATATTATTTCAGTATTATTTCAGCCAAATTGTCTTACTAAAGCTAGCTTTTATTGAGGGAGTTTTATTATATTTTTGACATAACCAAGTTTCGAGACATTTCAATTATCCTTCGAAGCGAATACATGATTAATATCTACGTCCATTTACTTTCCACTTTTCAACAATTAGACTACCACGTTGTTTCTATGACAACATTATCCTTTAGCTGTGTATTGTTTTGATAGCAATTACTACTATTCTTATTGTTAAAGATTCGATGATAAAAAAAATTCCAATCCCGGAACAAAATGTCCGTGAGAGGCCACAAGTTCCTGACAATAACTTAACTAGGCACTGACCTTTTGTTCTTTCCATATATCATATTAGTGTCGCCAAACGTTGTTTAACAGAAAATTAACAGAAATCTTAAATGTGCCTCGTGGATACTTTGTACACTCCTCCCCGACACACACACATAAAGAAAAAAAGACACATTCATCAGCATCATGTGATTTATTGACGCGGTCTGATTGGACAAATCGGGGTAAAAACGTAACACTTCTTTATAATTTAATGACAGCAAACTTCCTATGTTTCGACCTCTTCATGTAAAGAAAGAAAGAAAGAAAGAAAGAAAGAAAGAAAGAAAGAAAAGAAGGAAGGAAGGGAAGAAAGAAAGATAGATAACGTGAAAAATAAAATAGGAAAGATAGTAAAAACAAAAAAAAAAGTAACATGATAGAATAAATTAAAAAGAGAGGAAAGAACCGACAGAAGAATTTATCAAGTTTGATGGAATTATAGATTTTCAATTCCAGCAAAACAGATACAAAGAAAAAAAGAAAGAAAGAAGGAAAGAAAGAGAGAAAGAAAGAGAGAAATAAAGAAAGAAAGAATAAATTAAAACGAGGCAGGAATTGAAGGAAGGTTTTGACTTAGATTGATTTTTCGATTATCAGTCTAAGAAAGAAAGAAAGAAAGAAAGAAAGAAAGAAAGAAAGAAAGAAAGAAAGAAAGTGAAAAATAAAAACAAAAAAGGGGAAATTATAGTAAAAGAAAAATAAAGTAAAAAAGAGAATAGAAAGAAAGAAAGAAAGAAAGAAAGAAAGAAAGAAAGAATAAATTAAAACGAGGCAGGAATTGAAGGAAGGTTTTGACTTAGATTGATTTTTCGATTATCAGTCTAAGAAAGAAAGAAAGAAAGAAAGAAAGAAAGACAGAAAGAAAGAGTGAAAAATAAAAACTAAGAAAAAAGGGGAAATTATAGTAAAAGAAAAATAAAGTAAAAAAGAGAATAGAAAGAAAGAAAGAAAGAAAGAAAGAAAGAAAGAAAGAAAGAAAGAAAGAAAGAAAGAAAGAATAAAAGAAAGAAAGGAAGAAGAAAGAAAGAATAAATCAAAACGAGGCAGGAATTGAAGGAAGGTTTTGACTTAGATTGATTTTTCGATTATCATTATGAGAAAGAAAGAAGGAAGAAGAAAGAAAGAAAGAAAGAAAGAAAGAAAGAAAGAAAGAAATATAAAGAGATGAATAAAAAAATCACAAAGATAGTATAAAAGAAATAATAAATAAAAAAGAGAGGTAAAAGCAAAAGGAAGAATTGAAAAAATCAGATCGGATTTGGGATTATCAATCTTAACAAGAAAAAAGGAAAAACAAAGGGGAAAAAAGAAGAAGGATATGAAGGAATGAGAGGAAAGGATAGGTCTTTGAGTTAATGGGAAACTAAATTAGAAAGTACAGAACGTTGCATAAATAATAATAATAATAAAAAAGATAACTAAAAGTTTGAAAGAAATAAATGAAGAAATAAAGAAGCCGCTACATATTTCATTCTTACATGAAAGAAAATTGGTGTGCACTTGGTGACTCGTAATTTCTATACCGTCATGCACTGCTGCTTCCCTTGTGGTAAATGTATGGTAATGGACGCGGCTGGCCACACTTTCTATCATCTCTCACTATCTCTCTCATTGGACGTCAGTACTGATTATTCTCTTGCTGTGTTTTGCCTTATCCTTTCTGATTTCCATTTTCAACAACATAGGGAGGCAATCATTACACGCAACTCACGCATTTATTGTCGGCTTAAACACGCAGACCAGTTCTAAGTGGGTGGAATACACGCATACAACGCAGCACAGGCACAGCATCATTTTATATTTACTGGACTAAGCCACAGTCATGGAGTATACAATAGGATAAGAACATTAATAATGGCTTACAAGACAAGTTTTTATTACGTTGAATCATAAGTAATTAACCCTTTTCTACAGAAACGCACCTAAGAAATAATTATTTTTCTCATTTTTTTTTTCAAATTTCTATCAAACAAGAACGCCAGACTCCAACATCAAAACTCATATTTTTTTAAAATTTTCAAAATTTTAAGTGGGGGTTCAGTTTGCTACGTAAATTCATTGTAAATTGATCCCTCTACGCAAGCCCCAAAAATATATGCTCATACCGCGTGATGAAGCATACTGACTTAAGGCCATATTACGTTGAAACATTGGTTCCAGTACAATCAGCGAAGTTAAGCAAAGTTGAACCTGGTCAGTAACTAGATGGGTGATCGACTGGTAATACAGGTGCTGTAAGTTTAGATGTGCAGGTGGTGTTATAGATAATGGCTCGGAATTGTTAATCGGAAAGCTGAGTTCAAATTCCCGTTGTCTTTATTATATTCACTTACGCAGAAACACCCTTGGGAAAGGTATGATTCGCCTCTTCTCCCCTATTAGCTATGGGTTAAATATTAAGACTTGTATCACTAAATCATTAATCTCTCATAAAAAATTCTTACGATCTAAAAAATAGCTTCTGTCTTTAAATAACATGCAAAGGGTTGATAAGCCATGGAAAACGAATCATGCAATCAAATACTGATTAGCAACACAGGCATATCTTTTAGATTTATTTACATTTTCTGGCATATAAATGTATAAAAACTACCGTAGCCACAAAGTGAAGGATCAGTTTATATATTGATTTTAATATATAATAGATCCCCCACTTTATATCCACATTATAATTTCTTATTTGAGTATCAAATTCTGAACAGGTGTAAATCCACCTCTTCTCCCCCCAACTATTGGTTAATTATTAAGACTTGTATCACTAAATCATTAGTATCTAAAACAAAATCTTAAAATGTAAAAACATTTTCTGGCTTTAAATAACCTTCTAGGCGTTGACAAGCCGTAGAAAACGAATCACGCCATCAAACAAGTATATTCTTATGTACCTTACAAAATTTAAAATAATTTCATGCTAAGATAAAAAAAAAGAAAAATTAATCTTATTTAAAGTATATTCATATTTACCTTTTATCTTGTGTTGTATTAAAATAATGCTTATATATAAAATTTCAAGTAATTTCAAGAAAGCCACTTTATATAGTGTTGAAACTTGACTAATGCATGGAATAATAATGCAACACAAAATGTACTTAGAACAAAATGTATTGAAACAAGAAAGTGTACACAATATTTACATAGAGTCTTTTGTATATTCTTGGGAAGACCGTTCCTGGAGAATGTGTTGACTTAGTCGCAGTCGGGCAGAGTCTCTGGTTGAATCTCTTGATTCCTCCCTCTCTTCCCGGTACCAACCATATTTATATGGTCGGTACTCCACTATGCAAATTAGGTGGATCCTACCACAACATATAGCAAATTGAATCGTTTCTTTTTATATTCATAATTCTTGGTGTGGTGCGTTTCTTCAGAAACACGATAATTCCGTTTTAAGAAACCAACTGCAATGACGAATGTATCGTCCTAATTAACCGTTCCTTAAATATATCACAAAAGGTGATGAAAAGTGGGTTATATATTTTTCTAATGCTCATTGTAGTAGAGACTTTGTAATCGCAGATACAACTATAGTCACGCCGTTGAACAATACTGGTGTCAGACGCCTTCGAATAACACTCGCACTAATAGTACTTGCTCGATAATACTCGCTCGAAGAGTAATACGTATAGTGACCCGAAGAGAGAAATAGTATAGTGAATAGAGTAGCGAATAGCGGTCCGAATAGTAATAGAGGATAGACTAGAAATTCAGATCAATTAGGCACACGTTACCTCCCATATATGCTTTTTCTCTATGGCCACTTAAAGATCCACACTTTTGGTGTGGGTGCAGAGATTGTTTGATCTCCAAATATTTTTTTTCAATATTGCGAATGCCCGGTTTTCTTTGCCACATCTATATTGATTTCGTTCTTACAATCGCCATCCATCATGATGTAGGCGCCCAGTAGTTTACAATGTATTACTCTCTTACTGCCTTGCTTAGGAAAATTATGACTTTTTATGTCTTTGGTTAGTAAATATTATTTCCTAATGTCTTATGTCTAGAAAGTAAAGGAAATGACTATTATTCTCTTTACACTTTGATTTTGTGATACGGACATCGATGTTTAGAACTAACCTATTTTTTCATTACATTCCGGACAGATTCAGCACTGAGCAGCTGAAAGAAAATTTTCTAGAACTTTCTACAATTTCAAGAACTTTTGAGAGGTTTCTAATAGTTTCAAGAATTTCTAGCATGTTATGGCAACATAGATGGCAATATAAATACAGGCAACGTAAGATCAACAGTTCAGTTTACTTTTAGCTGTATAAGTGCTGGTAAGTCGTTGATATATGCATTCGTCACAGATAACATCAAGAGGCTGTTAGCATCCGCTAGACGCATTTTGCTATGTCTTTGCTGAACTTATCAAGACAAGAGCGAAAATGTTCTCTGTGACAACACCCACTAAAATGTGTGAGGCCCACAAAGAATATTTCGGCATGAGTGTCGAGATCAAGACAAACCTTGGGCACATTATTTCAGCTACAAACTCTGGAAATGAACTTTAGAGGTTTTGAGTTTTATTTATTCAAATATTTTTACTTTTATTTTTTATATCACTCTTATTGAAAAATATATATTAAATATGTTTCAACAATCGCGCATTAGTGCCCACAGTATCATGAATATTTTCTATACTGGATCACTGGCAAGATACATAAAAATACGGAATGTTAAGTATATTCGTTATTCAAGACCGTATTTTTGTGGCATTTGCGACATTAATTAGTGACCAAAGTCAGAATTTTACATATTCAGCGCATTATTTTTAGAAAATCAAAACGTAATATTTTAGAATTTTTCAATAATATTGGGTGAAATATATTTCTATTTCTATACTCATATTTTTATTTTGTTTTTTTGCTTTAGGGTACAGAGGGGAAAATAGGGCCATGAAATTCGTAATCCCACGAATTTGGAAGGAACCAATTGACTACTCAAGCAGTAGCTTCTTCTGCATGGTAGACTATTCTAAGATCGAGCTAACAAGATTGCGCCTGCTTTCATATATCCGGACATTCTGTCATCCATCGTACCATCGCCACACCTGCCCTGAGATCTTCCTACCCACACCTTCAAAGAAAGAGCAGCCGTCTTCAGAATAGCAATCCAGAAAAGAAGGACGTCGTTGATCCAGATTGCAAAGCACAGCTAAGAAGTAACCCATACTACTCCAACCAAAAATACCTCAACGACCAATGCCAATTTTTTTACATCGAAACGCAATCAGTGGAATTTGTTAAATGAAAGTGTACAAGTCTCAGGTCAGACAATGCTTCACCAGTGTCTTTCAAGCCTTTTTACTCGTCAAGATGAGCTTTGATTCTGCTACAATGTAACCGATCTGTTCACATCAATTGGAATCGTCTGTAACCCCATGATACCTCGACAGCTCATCTAGGATCCTGAAAGACCTTACTGCTTCAAAACGAGAACATGTATTCATCTCTTCCCCAGACTCACTTGATGCAGTTCAACGAGAAATACAGCAGATGCCCTGAAATATGAAAAGTACAGTTGAGAGGTCATCGAAGACTTCAAAATGGTGAATTCCTGATGGGTCTTCAAGGCGGCTTTACCAATATTTTATCCTTGCATTTAGAATAGCAGGAACAACGCGGCACACTACCACAGGCGGGACGAATTCAGCATGGGGATGAACAACGTCAAAGGAGAGCTATTGTTGGATCGCCGCAAAGTATTTCCTCCACTGCACTTAAAATTGCGCCTCATGAAACAAATTGACACGGCTCCAAATAACGAGTCTGCAGCCATCAAGTATCTTCAAGACTTCAATTCTGCGGTAAAAGTCAAATACGCTGTCTTTGTCGGGCTACAAATAAAGAAGATCACAGAGTACAAGTTATTCCCCAAGAAGCTCAATCAGACGGAGAAAGCACCACAGAATACTTCTGGCTCAGTGGTTCGGGGCTTCCTGGGGTATCACAAGGCTGAAAACTGTGGAGTTTGCTGAGACCCTAATAAAAAAAAATGGCAAAATGATCTGTTGGAAATCCCTCAAAGTCCATATACTTGACGCTCATCTTGATAAATTCTGAAAGAACATGGAGGCGTACTCAGAGGAGCAAGGCGAGTGTTTCCATCATGATATACTGAACTTTGAAGCCCGCTACCAAGGATCGTATAACGAAAACAAGATGGGAAACTGGGAGCTGATTCGAAAAAGGGTTTACAGTGTAAATATAAATCGTGAAAAACTACTTAATTCTAAATATGGTCTCAGTTATGCAATCCGAGAATAAATAAATAAATGCTACTTTTGAATCATATGTTGTTTTGTTCCTACGGTACCTGAAAGAGAATGTACGCATTCGCCAGTTTTCCCAAGGGGTCATT